CTCCCACAAAACAATGCCGAAATGAGTACCTGGAAACCAGTATGCTTTCCTAGAGAGAGGTAAAGGTGAGCTCTGGAATCACAGGAAACACAGACCATGGAGTGGTTATGTTGAGTCACTTTGCACCACATCTAAATGCAGACGCTCTCCAAAAGACCTAAACCAGATGGTAATTTCCCCATACACTCTTTATAAATAATAGATAGAAATGTATTTTGAAAGGCCCAGTGAGTGGTACAATACAGCAGATCCTGCCTTTGGAGGAGTTGTATGTTAATATGGTTATCTTCGTAAAGTAATTTGAATTTACAGTCTGTATATGCTGAGATTTTATTAACAGAAGACAGCTAAATTGTAAAACAAAAAGCAGAAAGACACATTTCAATTCTATTCAGTTACCTTTTGAGTTTTTACCAGTTCAGCAGCACCTAAAGGTCTTTATCCTGGTTTTCTTTTTAACTCTTTAGATATAGCTGTTTTCCAACTGATATTTTAGTATTAGAATTCAGAATCTAATCTGAGCTAGAAAATTGCAACTTCTCTCTACTAAATTTATAAGAAAAGCCAGTGAAATTTTGCTGATATTTTTATTTGAGCAAAAAACTATGGAAATCAGAAGCCTTCACATTAGGTATAATCATCTTCGGAACGTACTCCTCAGCATATATCCAGGATCATAATTAATGAAGTGATTGAAGGACATAAGCAGGTGTGTATAAATACAGCTTTTAATTTCAGAAATAATACAATTAATGCAAAAGTCCACTGACTTCAGTATAAGAACTGTTATTTATTTCAAAGTTCTCTATAGCGTGCCTAATATTTCTATTTATTTTAGCTACACATTTTGTATTGTTAACTAAGCCTACAGATGACATGCAATTCAGTTACTGAAATGTTACGATAAGTCACCTGAATCCATTTTGAAAAATATGTGTGGGCTTTATTTTGAAAATCTATTGCAAATGCTGATGAATGTAAGGAAACCAGCAGGTTGGCCTACTGGAGGGTTGCTGTAATACTGCTTTTTCAAAACTGCGGGGAATAATTCACTATATTGCTGCAGAGCAACAGAATGTTTATTTATGAATAACTATATTATGGTTGGTATGGCAGCTTATCTGCTTTCTTTCCTGATAGCTAGGGTAGTGAAAAACAAGTATTTTTCCTATTGAATATCCTCTTTTTCTGTAAATCTTTACATTGTTCTGGTTACTGCAGTGTGAAGTAAATTTTACAGCTAGTGGCCTGTTAAGCTGCACTAAATGTGAAAATAAAATGTATAGCTTTGTTAATGGTGATTGACGTTGACCCTAGTTACTATGTCAACTGCATCATCAACTTGTGATAGACTGGTTAAGGAATTTTCTTTTCTTTGAAGTTCATTAGTCTCAGTCACGTTTCCAACATATGATGACACTCTTCTAGGGCAAAAATAGGAAAAATGTAGATGATACTCTTAAGCAGAAAGTAGTATGTGATCCATGGGAAAAAAAACTAAGACACTACTAAGTACTGGACTCTCCAGAGAACTTTTACTCTTGGATATTTAGTGGTAAGACTTTCCTAGCTGTCCTGGTTTCGGCTGGGATAGAGTTAATTTTCTTCCTAGCAGCAGGCACAGTGCTGTGTTTTGGATTTAGTAGGAGAAGAATGTTGATAACATGCTGATGTTTTTAGTTGTTGCTGAGTACTGCTTATGCTAGTCAAGGATTTTTTCAGCTTCCCATGCTCTGCCAGGTGCACAAGAAACTGGGAGGGGGCACAGCCAGAATAGTTGATCCAAACTGACCAAAGGGCTATTCCATACCATATGACGTCATGCTCAGTATATAAACTGGGGGGGGGGTGGCCGGGGAGCAGCGATCGCTGCTCGGGAACTGTCTGGGTATCGGTCGGCGGGTGGTGAGCAATTGCATTGTGCATCACTTGCTTCGTGTATCATTATTATTATTATCATTATTATACTGTTACTATTAGCATTACTATTTTACTTTATTTCAATTATTAAACTGTTCTTATCTCAGCCCAGGAGTGTTTCTCACTCTTACTCCTCCAATTCTCTTCCCCATCCCATCGGGGTAGGGGGAGTGAGCGAGCGGCTGCGTGGTGCTTAGTTGCTGGCTGGGGCTAAACCACGACACTAGCTTTTAATCATAATGAAGTACCCAGATGTTGCTGCATTAGTGGACAGATTTCTGGATAGAATCTCTGGTTTTACAACATATTAATTGTGGGTACAGCTAATAAATATCCTGCAACATAGTTAATTAAGAATGTCCATGTGCATCGACCTTAACTGATTTTTTTTAATCCCAGCTGTGCATTGCAGAAGAAAAATTAAGTTCCAAAAATAGAAGTTTACATTAAGTTTCTTAGTATTTGTCCTCAAGAATTTAAAAGACAAAAAAAAGGCATTGAAGAGCAGCTGCTGCTCCCACTAAAATCAATGACGTGTCTTATTGAAAGCTCACTGAAATAATGAGAAAAAGAGAACCCAATGCTAAATCACTCTTTGCAACTTAAAATTTTTAATTCCATTCTTGTGAGTTTCATTCCTGATAATAATGGGAGAAGCAGAGAATGAATTCAGAAGAATTAAGAATTTCAAATGAAAAATAAAGGAGCGGGGGCAGTGAGCGCATGATAACGTTTGGCCTGTCAGAGAACAGTGATTATCACATGGTAAAAGAGGTATAGATAGACTTGGAGCAGCCACTAAAGGACTTTATGCAATCAGTGAGTTCTTTTCCAAGGCAATTTGCGTGGGGTTCATTTGCCCTACCATTAGACTAACATTGGTGTCTGAATTTGTCATCTTTGGCTGCTTTTTTGTTCCCGAAAAGAAATTGTCATCTCTAAATAGCATGTTCACCAGGCTAACTTGAATGCTTACATTAGTGTGCCATCTATTTCTCGCCATTTATGGCCATGAGATCCTTGGGTGTAGATGTCTGACTTTCAGATGTCTACAGTAAGGCAGTTCCCCAGACACTGCTACTGAGTGAGTTTTGGTGTCAGCTCCAAGAGAAGCACTGGTAGTACGTGAATATCTACAGCTTAGTCGCTGCCTTTGACAAACATCCACCCTAAAGATAACTATCTCATGTCAGACTGATTTAAAAGCACAAAGTACTCCAATATCAAGGAAAGGGAAATAAACTGAAGCATAGGCACTCTTGAATGCCAGTTCTACAGAATATATTCTGAAATAACAATTTCTTGCTTTCTTGGGTTGTGGAGTCATGGTGCAGTACCCGGGTTAATCATGTAGCAAATTACAAATGGAGTTCAGTGGTGCAAAACTAGAGAGATGGGCAAAGGCTCAGAGAAGGTCATAAAATGGTCTTTCTGCCAGACAGCATTAAAATACGAGAATGTTGGTATTGAACCAACTTGTGTTACTTGTCTGTAAATCATCAGTGAAGAGACATGAAGACACAGTATGTGTCAGATGGTTACCCCAGAAGGCTGTCCTTAAAGAAAAAAGATGTTCACCTAACCAGCCCTGTGTTCTTGCCAGACACTTTGGAAAGCACGTAGCGTGGTACCGAAGCAGAGTGGCAAGTGCCATGTACCGCTACTGTTCATGTAGACATTGTTTCCTGGTCCTGATCCTTGAAGGGTTTCCTTCTGAGATTTCTCAGCAAGTAATCCCTTGTCTAGGAGTCTTCTAGAAAAGTTTTCTGCAAACAGCAAGAAAAGAAAGCATCAGTTTACACTCTGGCATATATAAGTTAGTGGTATACCTTCACCTGTCCTTCTTCCCTTTCCACAGCTGTAATGTGGATTGGTAGTACTGCTGAGAAAAACACGATTTTGATAGCAAGACATTACTAAAGCCATCTTTGAGCCAGATTAAGATAGCTGGATATGAGAAAATGGAAACATTTAGGAACAGCCCTCAGCTTTAGCAAAGCAATATATTTTGGCTGGGTTAAAGGATTTTTCTGATATATCTAGAGCTAACACTTAACTGAGGACATGCAGTGTTCCCTGTAGAGAAACTCCTTCTATGAACTCTGAACTACCGACAAGTATGCACCAGTTTTCAGATGTTGTAGTACGGTACCAGCTCCTGCTGAAACAAAAAAGTTAATGCCTTTACATATAAATAAACTGTGCAGTCTGCTGAACAAGGATTAGCTCTAATGATTTTCATGAAGACAACTGATGACAGAGTTTCCAGTCCTGTACTCACAAAATACATGCAGTTCTCACTGTCTTTGGTGAAGGTTTGGATGATTGAATATGAAGGCAGTTCTGGTATCTCAGTAAGAAAAATATTCAGGAAAAAATTATATTTTCAACCTAAAGTTCATTAACAGTTGATCGTAGTCAAAAAAGGAAAGAGCAAGAGAAGAAAGGGGTGTGCTGGAGGGAGAAAACTGTAAATCCGGTGGTGTGAAACTGTGTGGTACTTAACATTCTGTTTTAATTTTCATGCCGATTTAAAGATGTTACCATTGATCTTCAATATGAAGCAATAATTCACTGCAAACTTGCTTTCTGTCATTCAGAGTTTTAATGTTTTGGAAAGAAATTTTTTACACAAATAATGGGATCTCAGATTTGGGCTTGCTTTGTTTTTTAATTATCTCCAGCTATGATGAAAAAATTAGGGGAAAAAAAGAGACTGTTTTGGAGGTGTCCTTAAGGAAACTCCGTATGATTACTTCTTGTTTTCCTGAAGAGGCCCTGCTTCCTCGCATGCAAGGTACAGAGGAGTCTGTGGATGAAAATTAGATTGCTGTGTGGAGATGGGAAAGTTACATGCACTCCCCTGTAACTCCTCTCTAGTGCCCTATCAATGCCCAGTTCCCAGAGTAGGAAAAATGGCCTGAAAAGAAAGCAGAAGTCTACAGCTCTTCAGAGACTACCAAACTCAGTAGCAGTTGTCATGATACTATTAAAATTACAAACCATGTTTATTCCCTAGAGTTCTCAACATCTAGTAACATTTGCCAGTGTGAAATTATTTTTTACTGTTTTCCCTGCAGCATGGCTGTGGAAATTTTGTGCGTGTGATACAGTCGTACAATCGCACACACCTGTATGTCTGCGGCAGCGGCGCCTTCAGCCCCGTGTGTGTGTATGTCAATAGAGGGCGCAGGTCCGAGGTAAGTCTCTTAATTTTATCCACTCATTTTGTGGTGGGCCTTACTCGTGTTACGCAAAACTCAAAATTTTGAAAATGCAAAAATCAATGATCCAAATAGGTTCCTTCACCCATGTTAGATAGAAAAAGAACAAAGATCCGTAGTTTTCTGACCTGTTATCAGCAAGAAGCAAAGCCATGGTCAAAAGCCATGCCTCAAATGTGATGTTTGTCCAAAATTCCACAGTCATACCAAATGCTGGGCTACATTTGCTACTCCTTTTTATTTGACATTGTCTGGTGAGTTCATTCCTATTATTTGTTGGAAAAATTGCCAAGAAATAGTTGAAAGGAAATGGCCAGTTAGACAAAAAGTAAAATATGCAGTCCACTTTTCGTAACTTCCATGTGTCACTGATTCCTGGGAGAAGCCCTTAAGTGGGCTAACTATTCACGTATGTGAAGGTTTGCTGGACTTCAGCTTAATACCCACTAGATGCAACCCCAGTACAGGTAACTTTCATCTACTGCACAAGTTTTGCCCCAGTAGATTCTGCCAGGATGAAGTCGGTAATTTTTCTCATTGCTGTGGGATCTTCCAGGGTGTAAATCTTATTTTCTCTGGATAGGTCTCCAGTTTTTCTATATTCAGTTTCACTGTATATTTTCAATATATAAAGCACCAGATGTTTCATAAGTATATTGTCCAAGTTTCCTGATTTGAAAGTGAAATGTTTGTTTATGTGCAAATGTAATAGGTAATTAATTAAGCAACCGGAAGGAGAAAGCACTTAACTGAGACCCAGCACCTCAGTAGCTTTTGGGTCAGATTCAAGTCTGCAGGCACAGGGGTGTGCAGTATATTTTCCTGTACACTGTGGAAGCAGATGTGTTGGGAAGGAAGATCAGAGTGTGCTACCTGGAGTTTTGCCATGTGAGGGCAGCTTTAAAAGCTGGGCTGGCTCCTGGGGAAGAGACTGGGAAATTCATCACTGATTTCATTAGGAGTGAGATGGGAATACTGGCCAAGACCCAAGACTACTGCAGAGGTTGCCAGGGAGGTGATAAATCATTGCTTCTCCAGGTAGGTTTTCATGAGATGGTCTCACTGATTTTTGGTAGATCTCTACCTGGCTCCAGCCTCCTTAAGACACCACTGCACCTTCAGTCTTAATGAATTATCTAAAAGTAGAGGATCATAGGCCTGGATTTAAAAGTGCAAGCAAGCAGAACTGAATAAGTAAATCCATCCTTCTGGTTAACAGAGTCTGCATTAACTTATTTTGATGTATTTTGAAACAGGTCAGCTTTCCTCGGCATTATCATGTTTCTTGACAAATTATTTAAAACATGAAAAGTGATCTCATTTGTCTCTAATTAATGCAATATTCCTTTATCAGCTTAAGTAATAGTACTATAGTCCAGAGAACTCTAAGTCTCATTATGTTAGGTTTTCTGTAAAATGACGTTGGGGAGGGAGGGGGAGGGCAGGAAATGACATCTCCAGATGATGCAAGAGGTTAAATTTCCTAAGTTAAAAATAAAGATACGTGTCTTGGAAGAGCAGAACTGACTTCACTTAGCCTGTCTTTATAGCTACATGCCTATGATCAATTGATTAAATAAACTGCTGTTTCAGACGTCTGGAGTCTGTCAGACACTTGACTGTAGGCATCGCATGCTCAAAGCCATTACTGTACAAGCCAACAATAGCATAACAGTTTAAAACCAAGCATTTCCTTCTGAACTCATTGCATATATCAGTGCATGACTAAATAGAGCACAATGAAGAACTATGTATTGTTGATGGGACTAGCGAGAACTCATTTTTTTCTCTGCTTTTATCATTTCACCTTTAATTTAGTGCAGTTTTCCATACACAGAAGGCTGGTTTTGCACATCCAAAATGGGTACTTTAGAAAGCACATCTGTTTTTCTCTAGAAGATACAAAGCCTGACAGCAAGAGTCAGATCCAATGACCATTAGAACTGAGCCTGTTTTGCTCTTTTGTCTCCAGGATTCCACATAATCTCACAAAAAAGCTGGTTTCGTTGATGAGGCACAATGTTGCCCTTTTCCCTGAAACAGAGGTTAAAAAATAATTAATTCTATTGCTTGGCACACTTGATACTTTGGTCTTTTGATAATGACTCTCTTAGTCATCAAAATATATTCTAATGTCAAAGTAAAGGGAAACAGAAGGAAAGGTAATCACTATGTGAATTAATTATAGACTAAAAAGTAGTTTAATATATATGAAAATCAAGTGTAATCCTGGAGCTACTTTAATAGTGCAGTAATGGGCATTTTGAATTGGTAAATAGTGGTATAATATAGTAAATATGGAGTAACATCAAGCTGCATATTAATCTAGAAGCAAAACAACAACAAAAAAAATCCCAAGATCATATTAGAAACTTCATACGTATGTTTTAACATTGTTTAGAGAGCTTATTACTGAAACAATAGATAAGATCTCTGTGATTAAATTATGCAAAACAGAAGAGAGGGAAAAGAGATGGGGGTAATGGATATGAAAACTTCCTGCTGTAGCTGAGCATTTCGCGTTGGTGGAGTCTCCAATTCGCTGTCACCAAATAGCTGCTCAGTGATCTGTGTGGCATCCCCATTCCCCTGTGATTTACATTAATTGTTAAAGGAAACAGAGTTGCCTCCCTTAGTCGAATAACTAATACCTACATGACAGAAACCTTTCTTTGGAATTTTTGACAGCTACCTTTTCCTGTTGAAACAGAAGTGTTTTAAGTTTGGCTGTTTTTTTCCTTGCAATTGTGTCTTTTGGCCTTTTATTAAAGATTAGAAGTTTGTTATAGGAGGCTAGGCACAAGTTGTTTGTTTGGTATACAATGGTATTCAAGTTGATGTGCTGTGGATCAATGTCTCTGCCATTACTGACTGCAATTTTTAAGGAAAGGACTCGGACCCAAGAGTCCCTTCTTAGTCAGCATACTGTGCTTTTCAGTATTGCTGGGAATGAAGAAGTGAAAAGGCACACCAAGGTGGGCGAATTTTCTAAAGATATTCAGACTGTATTTCAAGCTGTTGTCGAGGTTGCTTCTACTTTGCCAAATGTATTTCCTATTTATAAATCACATAAAATATAAACAACCCCCCATACCAAGATTCCTAAACGGCAAAAAATTTCCAAAAGATTTCAGGCTATGCAAGAGATATTGATAAATCATCTGTCACTATGGAGCTGGAGCTCTCTACATAATCCAAGAGATGGTATTGAAGAAAATAAGTAAGATTTAGGGGATTTTTGGAGATCTGATAGCTCAGTAAAGATCAAATTATTTATACTATCACCAAATGACAATTGTCATAAGAGATTTTTATTTAATATGTGTTAGTGTTCTAGTATCTTTATTGTAAAGTCCTAGACTAGTATAAGTATCACCATGTATTTAGCAAATAAAGTATAAATAACTGCAAAAACACAGAAGTAATCTCCACAGATGTTATTGCAGAGATCAGTCAACCTCTCCAAAGCATAACTGAGCTAGAGGAAAGAATTCTTTGTTTCAGTGTCTTGAATTTATAACAAGAGTCTTGAAAATAACGGGGTACCACTGAAAAAGTTGTCTAAAAAGATGATGAAATTCTGAATACGAAAGCTAAACTGCTGATAGTATAGCAAAAGCGCCCAGCAGTGCGGAGCATTGCTAATGCTGGAAATAGCCAAGCATAAAAATCACTTTATGTCTGATGGTTTCTCAAATGAGAAGTGACACACAAATCTACATTGCAGGAACAAATCTTCAAGATCGACTCAAAGTGTGAATCAGGAAAGGGACGCTGTTCTTTCAACCCTAATGTGAACACGGTGTCTGTTATGATCAGTAAGTAAAAATATTCCCAAGTTGCTGAGGTCTAAACCCATATGATCATGCGTGGTGTGGATTGACGAGATGCCCGAAACGAGCTGGACACAGAATTCGGCCTCCAAGGAGCAGTACTTTGTGTGTAACTGATGGGCACAAGGGTTGGGTCCATCCTTGTTTCAAGGTTTACATGGAGCTGAAGGTGGGTGTACAAATGAAATGCAGAAATAAGCTGTTGAAAGGGAGAGAGAGAGAAACAGAAGACAAAAGATTGTCCCTTTTCCAGCTTACACATTTTTTCCCAGGGTTAGTTTCAACTTTGCATTACCCTGTCTAGCATTTTGTGTTTGAACCGTTTCTGACCTTGTTCATCCTAGACACCACTTGTGTCTCATTTAATTATTTGTAAAATATCAGAGTAGCCAGGGAAAGAAAGCCTGAAGACTTTAGTTACTTTGAATTTCATGTTTGTTGTCATCTCTGCTGTAGAGCCCACCAGCTATTGCAAGGCTCTTCATTCTTCATTTGGCTTTATACCCAACCAGTTTTGCAGTTTTCTTCCATTTGAAGGGCCAGAAAGTGATACAACTGACACACCTCAAATATTCTTGTGATTTGGTGGCAACTGTACTCAGTGACTGTGAGATATATCCCATACAAAGAATTACTGCAGTGCCTGTTGCATACCTAAGTGAAAATTCAAAGGGGGCATACGCTTTGTGCAACCTAAGTTATCATTAAAAGAAACTCTTTTTGGTTTTTTTTTTTTTCCCCAACCAGGAGGCTTACTATATATACCTAGTGTAACTAACTGACCTTTCACATTTGCAGCATGTTCACAGACTTCTAGTGCCAAAGCCTTGATTTTTCAACATGTGCCTACTCCTTGCTATATTTTTGGCTATGAAGGAATAGCAGTTGCACAGATTTTTCAGGCTTTCTTAGCAAATAAAACTTAGTGCATACAGGTACTGCATATTTCACCCATGGTTTACAAAGGAACAATGTGTGGTGTTTCTGCTGTTCGGCTTCCACTGAAATCAATGGCAATTACATATAATGCCAGATATTTCCTTTAGTGTTTGAGTTGCATGGAGCTTAAGGGGAGTGTCATATAGTCTATCCTACGTGGTCTGTTTAAAACATGAATTAACTTTTTGGTTTTTTGATTCCTCATTGCAAATATATTTAGTGCAAAGGACAAGTAATTTCATTCACAGGGGTATGACCTGAAGCACCTTTAGAAAACAGGCAAATGCTACCTAGATAACTCTCTGAACCTTGGCTGCACTTATATCTTTATCTCATCAGTGATCTATGGTCAGTGTTTACAGACACTCACTCTGTAAAGAAAATGTTTGTTCAGAGTCAGTGATGGATTAATCCACTGCTACTCATTGCTTTTCTGGTATTATTAAGTGAATCAACTGTCATTAAAAAATAAAGTTTCCTTTCCTTGTTCCTTCTGGATTTTATGAAACACCATAAAATACATTGTTTCTGAATTACTGTATATACAGTGAGCTGATTTTTTTCTACAATAGATCTATGGCAGCTTTGTTCATCTCGGTAGACTTTACGGTAGACTTTACGTTATATTCCTTGATCTCTCAGTTATGTGACTGAAGAGACCTTCCCTAGCGTTTGACTTCTCTTTCATGACATAATTCATCTACAAAGTTTAAATTATTCCACAAAGGTCACATTCTTTTTCAAAAGACTCCCACAGATTGAGTTTTATACTTTGTCCCTGTTACTGCAAAGTCCAGTCATTTCAAAAACATGAAGCTTGAATGAATTTAGCTTCAATATCCATGCCAGGAAAGGGAAGATTTTGAAAATCACAGCTTGAGTTAAAATGCAAGGACTGAGCCCATGTACTGGACTCTTCTTTGGGCATTCTTCTGCAGGAGGAATTCCTTCCCCTCACTTCAGAAGATAGGAAATACTGCCAGACTGGGTAACTCTTCCACAACAAAAGAACCATTTTTAAATATAGTTGCAATTTCTTGACCATTTTGGGCATCACCAGCCTAGAATACAGCGGAAAAGCTGATTCACTCTTCAGAGGAAAATGATGCTATAAAAACAAATTTGAACTTGGTACAGTTTGCCATTGTACGAAGACACTTTTGCGTCAAAGCAGTGAAAAATGTCCTTTGAAGAAGCTTGGCATAACTAATGTGCAGGATGCATGTCTCTCTCCCCACTAAGACTCTGAGATATTTATGAAAGCAGACATACCTCATCAATTCAGTAATTCCACCAATAACAAAGAGAAGTAGTGTGAAATAGTTGTGCTGTGCAGACCAAGTGCTGTGCGGAATTTAAGAATTTAACCAAAAGGAAGTGGAGCTGACGGATATCATCTGATACATGATTAGCAAGTAGACGCTAGGAATGCTTAAGACATAACTAAAAGCTCTGATATGTAATAGGATTAAAATTACATAGTGTAGTACTATTGTTAAAGTGTGTGCCTATGTGTATATGCATAGGACTATATATACATAACGTTTAGTGAGAACCATAAGCCTGATATCTTTCAGCCAATTTATTTTATAATAAGAATTATTATTCAATGAGGCAATGAGGCCAATATACAAAATCAGTTATAAATCAGTATAGATCTAATATTCTGTCAAGACATGCTCAGGAAGTAAATGCTTCACAAACATGCAGTCAATGCATTGTTTAAATCCCCTGTGTATGAATCTTGTCATCACTAGGAGAGATGAGAGCAGAAGAGTGGCTGCTGGCTGCTCTGCAGGGGTTCAGTTCAGGCTCTAGCCAGCAGCAGAAAAACAAAATACTCAAGAGTTTTAATTGTCTCATGAGCCAATAGTCTTCCATATTGATGTGCGCGCGCACACGCGCACACACACACACACACAGAAGGCATAAAAATAGCCTGAAGCACTTCTGAACCTGTGACTCTTGCCAGCTTGACCACACTCTCTGGGTAGTCCAGGAATTCAGACAAAAACATCAATCAAAGGACCCAGCTGTACTGGAATGTATTCAGCCACCACTCCCACTCTAAGAGTTAGAGTTTATTTTAGCTACTGTTTTCTACTCTGGGGTTTCATTGTCATTAGTCAGTGGAAATTGCTTGGTTATTCATGGAGTAGAAGATGATAGTATATGTAATTAGAATTATAATTATATATATGTGTATTTATGCACACACACAGACTCACACAAACACAGATATACATCCTGACTGATGGACTGTTTTCAGCCCTGCACAGGGAGCAGAAGTTCATAGTTCTGTTAATGTAAGTTGCATGTCTAATTCTGTTCAAGCATAATGACCCTATACTTAGAATCACGTACACGAAAGGGGACAATTGTTGTTCCGTATTACTCTGTGTAAAGTTCAATAATAAGATTGTCTGGCCTTTGCAATACTGAAGTCAGCTTGAGGCTGCCTGGGGCAGCCTTGACAATACTGTTGGTAAAAATTGGCACCGATCCATTGACTGCAATAGATGTTGTGCCAGTTTACACCAGGAATAAATTCAGCCCAGTCATTTTGTCTACTCCAATAACAAAAAAAGCTTTTTGAAGTACGTACTTTAAAAAATGAATGTGATTCTTTTTGATAACACCAGCCTGATTTTCCAGTGATCCTTTGCAGTGAAAGTTGAACAACTAAGCTTCACATCAAAGAAAGGCTCACCACATACGCAATTCTGCTGTTGCATTTAATTATGCAGTTCCCTAAAGTCTTTAAGAAAAATCTGATGATTCTTGTGCATTCTAGTTTGTGTCTTTGTAAATCAGAGGGAAATCCCATTCCCATGACCCAATATTTATCTGTATTGACTCCTATGTAAATAGAGCTGATGAGTTTAAAATAAAAATAGATCGATAAACATGGATTTCCCAAAACCCGTAACAATGCATTTGCTTTTTCCCCTCCATTTCAATTCTTTGCAGATGAAGAGCTTTTTTCAGGAATGTATATTGATTTCATGGGGACAGATGCGGCCATTTTTCGGAGTCTGACCAGGAGGAATGCAGTGCGAACTGACCAGCACAATTCCAAGTGGCTGAGTGGTGAGATGCCTTTGTTTTACCAGAGCTTTTAATGGGTTTCACAGAGATTTTGCTTTGTTTTGTTTAAAAGAAAGAGCTTGTCTTTTCAAGAGCTTTTCTCTGAATGTAATTTATGAAGTTGAACCATGGAGAAATGTGTGTAAATACATATTGTAGACAATGCACAGATGTAAAAGGTTCACTACATGAGCCAACCTCTTAGGCCACACCACCTGGTGGCCTTTTTTGCATTAAGACTGAACCAAACTGTTCAAAGGAAAGTGTATGAAAACCTTTCAAATGGCAAGTGGTCAGACAGTCTGGCTTCTAGGGGAGTGCCTTCTCCACCTCTAAGGCATCAGGCATTGCCTTAAATTAGCGTGCTTGATTCTAAGTTTTTTCCTAATGTATTATCAACTTCAGTTAATTCAGGCTGATCTACCTCTGTACAGAAGACTCACTACCACTCGCATTCAAAATGTGTGCAGAAGTCCCATTATCAGAGAAGTCAGTGACAATAATTGCCATTTATTTCAGTGGTAAGAAATTGATTATCAAAACACAGTAGGAAAACTAATTTCTGAGTGCAAACACTTAACTCTTGGCTTCACTGAAATCAATGTGAAAATTCTCCCTGACTTCACTGATAAGAAGACTCCTTCCAATTAAACTATTTTGAATCAAAGAGGTGGTCAACCCTCTGAGCAGAGATAGATGTCAAAGGCTACAGAGCAACTTACATAGCAGTTCCAATTTAAAAAAGCCTTCAGGTATGTTGAAGTAAAGTTACTGTTTTTGTCGTGGCTATTTTTAGGGTGACTCTTGTTATTCCTGTGTGGCTGCGACTACAGTGAAATCACAGGATTGCAATCAGAATAAATTCAATTCACTATGAACGGGAAACTATGTCTACTTCCTAAATTTTTCTTCTGTTTGCTATACATTCTTACACTTATCTGCACACTCTGAAGTGTGCACCCTAAAGTGAATTAGGGAAAAAGAACCATTAAAATGCCTAATTTCTGGAAAATCTGCCTGTTACTTATGCTCAGAACAGGTACTTGACAAGCACAATTTACTTCCATGTTTTAGAGCCAGAGTCATGACACTTGTTATATTGATTAAGAATGGGCTCATGTGAATAGAAAAATACTGCAGTCTAATGTGAGTTTTCTGTCAGAGATCCAGCCTTTGTATCGGATTGTTTCAAGAGTTGTACTGGATTTCAACCAATCAAACAATTTTGCATGATCATTGAAAAGATATAGCCTTCATGCAGGAAGTTTCTTCCTTCAGACAAAGGAGAAGGTCTTCTGAGGACTCCCTCCACTGTCCATTATATTTAGCATAGGAAATTGCCAAAAATGGATGTTCTGCAGGTACCAACACCAGTAGAGGTGGTTGCCTAATAAAGGATTGCAAGAAACTAGTGCACAGTCACCTGCATGTTATAATGTACATTTTAAACTACATTACACTAGTGCTCCTTTACAGTGTTTTGTATGTTTATCAACCTCTGATATGAACTCAAATGCTGTTCAAGCATTTGCATATTCTGCTTTCCTTTTTCAGTGCTCCAACAGCTATTTGTGTCTCTTATTTATGCATTTTTGAAGTACCTTATTTGTTCTTTTCCTAAAGAGTCTTTTAGTAGCTCACCTTTATGTTTTGCCTCAGTGAGTCTTTCCTTAAGTGCCCCTGATAACACACTGATTCTTCCCTCTTCTTCCTCCAAGTCTTTGAATCTCTGCAGTAATCTAATACTATTGCTTCTGTATTTTAATTGCTTTTCTAAAAATCTGCTGTGGGATAAAATGTGAGGATGCAGAAACTTAAGGCTGCCAGCAAGAAGCCATTTACGTGGCAATATGTGGTATATCCACACATGAGGCTAGAGCGTATAGCCTAACCTGCCACAGCAGTACCTCTATATGCATTGTATAGCGTTTCCTTGAAGCAGCCAGTGACTGTCAAATCATTATTTGTGTATACTGATGCATCTTTGGGTTTCATCTTTCTGGTACATTGTTTCATTTCAGAGCCTATTTTTGTGGATGCTCATGTTATCCCAGATGGCACTGACCCCAATGACGCCAAAATCTACTTCTTCTTCAAAGAGAGACTCACAGACAACAGTGGCAGCACAAAGCAAATTCATTCAATGATTGCAAGAATATGCCCAGTAAGAACCATTTTGTTTGCCAGGTTGTTGGGACAAGCTGCTAGTGTGACACGATAAGCTAAAAGGCTAAATGATTGAAAAGCCTTTGATTTATATTCGAATCAAATTTCCTGTTTCAGCTTCCACATTCGTAATTAAGAAGAGCTGTTACTGAACACACAGATAGGGTCTGAACATGTGATGTGTATCTGGCTGTACCTATAATCACATGGAAATTTACAGATTCAGGAATCTGTGTATTTCTCTGACTGACTCAGAATAGTTATGAGGGTTGAATTTCCACATTTGTTGTCCTTTGCATGAATGAGGTACATTCTTTGCTTAGAAAAACTGAATTATAAGACAGTGAAGTCTTTCACACACATAAAAACACACTCAAAATCTATGAAACACATTGGAAATATCAGAGCCAAGCTTTTAAATGGGTTGATTTAACTTTCAAATATTGCTTTCATTTTTACAGTATCTGTCCTTTCGGAGTTCTTGTATTTATGTATGTGTGAGCCTAACTTTAAAAACATGCACAGGAAAATTAAATTCAGGAGTTATGGCTGCTTCTGCGCAGTAATTAATTTATGATCGCAGCACTCCTCATTGTCTCTATTTCCTTTTTCATATCTATAATCAACTGTAGATGAAAAATGATTGAAGCAGCTATTAATAGCTCTGGTGAAATGGATTTTTTTTAATGAGAGCAAAATTATAAATGCATGATTACTGCTAGCCTTTTCGTGCCTTGTTTTGGAAAGGTTCAGGAAAATAATTCTGAGCGTTTGTGTATTCCTTGTCTTTAATCTGGGTCTTCTTTAGAATTTGATGCTTTGTGATGTTGTTGTGCATGTGTGTGAGGGCATGTTTGGAATTGTGTTAAACTCCCTCTCTAGCAATGGGATGAGGCATGTGATCTCTTCTATAATCTCTGTTTTCTGTATTTTTTTGAGGATGCCCAAAGGCCTTTCTGGGTATTTTGCAAGAAGACATTTCACACAACTATAGCTGTATTTGTTATTGTTACTGTTATAATGAAGCCCAGATGATTTCCGAAAGGCCTCGGCCTGTTCAGACTTAGACTGAAGTCAGTGGCAGAATCCCAAAGCCAATGAAAATAAATCTGAGTCAGTCATATTTGTATACTTGTATACCATCATATTGATATATCAACACCTTTGAGACTGGCCAAATATATTAGTACAATGGTGCCAACAGAGACACACCACACCCCCCCAAAGACCTCTTATGGGTCACCCAAAAAGTCTGATTACCCGCTCCAAGAGCACCAGTGAAACATGCACAGCATTTCATTGAAATCACTTTTGCCTAGCTTCTACATTTCCTTTCTCCCTTTCCTTGGGTGACATTGTGCTGTGCAGTTTGGATGCTACTGCTCTTATCTAAGGTGTTCAACAGCAGAATGAGGAGGGAGCTGCACCATCTGGTTTAGCAGTTACTGTTTCCACATTGCGCTGGAGAGAGATGGGGAGATCCTTGAGCAAGCTGTGACCAAGCCAGCTCTGGACCAAGCTAGGAGGACTTGCAACAGTGCAAAACTAGCTTGACCCATGCTAGCCATCATTTCTGAAATTAGTTCAGAGCGTCCATCTCATAGGCCAGCATGGCTTACTAGGTCAGATGCAGCTATAAGGCTGTCAGCACTAGAAGAAACATCCCACCGTAGGACTATTAGACCTCTTAGAGGTAGCATGGACTTCGCCACACTACCTGTCAGTGAGCGATACGGATCTCCACAGTCATTTCCAATCATACCTACACGCATTGCTGCTGCACAAAATCTACTGCCCAACCCTCCCAAGCCTGCTAGCCCAGCACAGAAGGTCTGCTCGGAAAACTAGTTCTTGTTTTTCCTGTATCTGAAGCGTTTAGATGAGGGGATTTGGTTTAGGCTTATCTATTTTTTCATATTGAATATACCAGCATAATTGTCTAGATGACGAATCACGTTAACCTGAGGAAAATGTGGGAAAGCCCAGGAAAATATTAGCTGTGTTGTATTTTTTTTCTGAAAATAATATTCCTTTTCAGAATGACACGGGTGGTCAGCGTAGTCTCGTGAACAAGTGGACAACATTCTTGAAAGCAAGACTTGTATGCTCAGTAATGGATGAAGATGGAACAGAAACATACTTTGATGAATTAGGTATGGCAAGAAAACCCCTTAAAAGTTTTATCTAAATCCTGCACCCTGCGCATATTTAATTATTGATGTTCGTACAGCTCCTTAGTCAAGTTGCTGACAGTAAAATCTTGACCCTGTAGAAATTCATGACAAAATTCCCCTTGCAGTTTTATGACAGGAAATTAAAATTCATAAATCTCTCTGGGTAATTATCATTATAAAGATAATTAATCTTGACTATGTAAAGGAATTATATATGCAAAGAATTAATATTTGGAAGTGAATACGTAAATGAAGTCTATTGTTACTTTGCTCCTAGTTAGGATTATGATAGAGGTTTTTTAACATACATTTCTTTGAAACTGTTTCTTATACCACTGTGTAACATACAGCTTTTCTGCAATACAGTTTTTCTTTTTTCATCACTGGATAGAGGCCTCAATTTGATAGTTCAGGATGATACTAATAAATCCTGTTACTGGCACCAGCAATAATACTATGAATAAAGATTCAGTGAATAATCTATACTGCAGTCACAAGCTGTATAAGGAATTAATAGATGCATGTCTTGATATGTAAGTGCCAAACAACATTATGAGAAAGTTTCAAATCCTGTATTGTCCACAGCTGTGACATACCAAGTCATAGTTCTAAATTCCGGTACTGGAAGATCTGGTATGTGTATTAGAATAAATATAAATATAAATCATATAAATAGCTAATGGGCCCCACACTGGGGCTGCATCTGATTCTGACCTTCTTTCCACTGTAATCTCGCTCTCTTTTCTCTGTCATTATTCCTGATTCTCATCATAACAAATGGGGTTTGGAATCTTTCTGACTTTATATCTTTACAAATATTCGGTGTACTTGCTTTGGTTCAAGGTTTCTATGGAACCTGATGGGCCTAGGAGCAGATCCTAGCTTGCTGTAACCCAGAATGTGCAAGGTGCTTGGAGGACTGACTTTCAGAAGTTCCCAATGCCTCCTAGCACTGCCACAGCAAGTAATCTTTCAGAGCTGTGATTTACAAGCCCACTCCTCTTCAACAAAGCAGTAGGATAACTGCTTTTAGTTTTCTGTATGACAAAATGGAGGACCTTACAGAGTAAGAGACAATGTTCTCATCCTGGGCTCCCAGCACAATCCTGTAGCAATGAGTAAGAAGAATACAACGGCAGCTGGAAATTCATGTATAATGCAGAAGAGTGTAACTGCCAGTCCTGCATGGTGAAGTCTTTTGCTTTTGACGTATTTAAGGGAATGTTTAAAAATTTCAGAGGGTTAATGAAGGAGCCACATTAATGGAAAGCTAAATAACATATTTCATGATAAAAAGCTCAAATTGTTCAATCTTTTTGTGTGTTGTAAAATAAGTTTAAGAGGTAGCTTGATTATAGTTATTCAAAACATTTGTAAGGAGAAACTGCCAGAGATTAAAGTATTGTTCACTGAAGTGTAAAAAAAAAAATCAAGAGATCAGAGGTAAATGTGGGCAAATTCAGTTCAGTGAGTAGGTACAGTTTTGCATAGTGCGGTCAATAAATTCCTACATGACAGAAACTGGGAAGTTTGCATCTCTCAGTGTCTTCATTCCAAAACTGTGTGTCATTCATATCATGTTGAAAATGAGCTAGTGAGGGTGTCTAGAACGTGTACTTGATGATAAAACACCTAGTTGTCCTGCTGTGCATTACATCCATCTATGGGAACTCTTTGACCTACTGCAGCTCTAATGTTTGTCTACTGTTGAGCAACCTGCTGAAATGAGATCCAGCTGAGAGAAATCTGCAACATGGATCTTGAACATATTTGAAAATCTTTGCCTTCTGTCTTCATAAGGCGAGATGGCATGGAGTTAATTTCCAAAACTGTTTCTGAATGTTCAAAAGCTTGATTTATGCATATGGTCCATTCATACGATAAGTCTGCTTTTTCCCATTGAAGTCTGAGACAGAACTA